AACCGCCAAACGCATAGTTCATCAAAAGCTTCGTGTGGTCGGCATCAGAGCTGGTGATCAAAATCACGTGTTTTCCCGATTGCCTCCACATCTTCAGCAGTTGTATGACTCGATCCGATGTCTTCCGAAGATACCTGTCCGGTGTGTCCATCAGCTCGGGATTCCAACCCCCGGATCGGTGGTTAAGACCGCTTCCGTACATCAGACACGTCGAGGAGTATATGTCGCGCCATATCTTTGCGTAACGGTTCCGGAGATTGTTGTCATCGGAAACGGTATTATCATCGGTGATGTCCAACACTTCCACACATTTGGAGAATACCTGCGCCGCAGGGCTCGTGAAGTAACTCTTGAGTACCGCGTAATCAAAGCCTTCAGATTCAGTGGTATTAATAGTTCCCAAACACAAGACATCGGGTATTGTTCGCAGAGCTCTAACCACATCATCACCGCCATAGACCTCACGAGTGGACCTACTCGACAGCTCTTGGAAGCCATGTCTGACAGACATTATCCCGAACTCTGAGTTCAGTTTCAGGACATTTCCGCGCCGTTTGTCGATAACTAAACCTTTTTGACAATATTTTGGACAAAAATCTTCAATAATCTCTTGACTATAGCCATAGTTGTGGACCAATGACTTCTGAATCAATGAGTGAATGAGTGGTAATGAATTCTTCAAGTTATACTTCACTAAAGTGTTGTCCATATCTATGGCTATCAAGTCATAGGATTCTGTACTGAATTCTGTGTCCATTGGATTCATTTTGAATTATTATTCCACTTCAAGACATATAATATTATAATGATTTTGTGTCTAAATAAGTAAAGCAATGATACTTTGTATATCAGTCCCACACATACACACAATTATAACTGTTGTGTCATATTCTGTATGACATGAATATTCTGTCACTTGTCAGTAGTCCTCACAAGACATTATGACATACTGTACTGTATTTGTGTATAGTGTGTGGGTGTTTATTATTCAAGAATATGTATGATTTAAGATTATGTAGTCAATCGTGTATTTTTATATTTTATTACCTCTTCCGACACAACTCTGAGACACTTAAACAACACATACAATATTATGTGGATCAATAATCGAGGTCATTATTAATTTAAGGGATATAAAAGTTTTGTAATTTTTATTATAATAATTATAATTTATAATTATGTATAAAACATGGTAGTGGTTTGATATGAGTGTAATATAACTTTTACTGTAATTATAACTGTAAAATTGTAATATAACTAATTAATAAATTCAATTCAAATTAATAATTAACACAATTCATTAAATAAACTGTTGAATCAAATCACACGTGTCTAAAGTTTAGACTCTAAACCCATACTGGTAAGATAAGTTATCACTGATAACTTACGTTAGAGTATAATTTACGTAATGATTTTTAATTACTTTTTATTGCCTATAGATTGAGCTATGATTCAATACTGTATACGTAATACATAATTTTAAATTTACAGAATATTCTTTGAGTAAACTAAAAGTAAACTTAATTTTTATTATGAAAAAATATGTAGTCACAATTTCAAATCACAGTATGACTTGTACAATTAGCATATTTTATATCTCTGATAAATAATAACAAAAATATACTACAGTATTAAGATTAATAATAAAACTCTAATATTGTTTATTAATCATTTGGTTTTATCCAAAATATACTTATAAAAGAAATCGCAGTCACTTTGCATTGTCTTATAAAGTGTTGCATTAAAATCGGACACATTTTTGATACAATCCTTATCTATAGACCAGTCGTAGTACTGGCCGATCACCTGAGCGCAGGTTGATGTCTGGCCGCTCACGTCCACCATCATCGACACAAACACCTTGAATAGTTTCGCAAAATTATCGATCAATTCGTGCGACAAATACTTTTGCAATGGATTTGGACTAAAAATACAAAAATAAAAGTTTTATACAAAATAGTAACTAGTAACATTTTAATATCCATAATATACTCACTCATGAATATCCATATCAAACAACTCCTGTGCGATAACACCCACACTATATATATCTGCCTTATTTGTATGTACTGAGTGACTGCCCCCACCTCCCTGTCCACTATCAGCCAAACTACCGAAATCTTGCGACCCATATACGCGTTCGCTATCGTAGTCGTCATCATCGATAGCGCAGCCAAAGTTACTCAGCTTAATATACCTACCATTCCTGCCATTCTCGGCGATCAGTATATTGTCGGACCGGAGGTCCCGGAGCACTACCCCCTCATTCAAGTCGTGCAGGTATTGCACGCACTCTAACAGCTCTTTGAATATCTCGCACGATATGAAGTACTCGATGGCATTCATGGGCTCACCCGGCTGCTGTCTCGCAAACTCCGGTCCCTTCAGGGCAATGATATTCTTGAGTGTATGGGAACAGTACTCCAACTGTATGTATAGAAACTTGTGCTCAAACCACGAGTTGTAGTACTGAACCACATATTCAGAGG